CTTTACCCCCGGCGCTTATTACAGACCCAGCACTTATTAGAGGTCCAACGCTTATAAGAGGAAATACTGTACATCACATCAATCGTATTAACCTGTCCTGCACTGCAGTTTTGACACGAGGTCAACCCGATGCTGTTGTTGCGTTTAGCTTCTCAGTCTTGACATTTTTGCACTGTTCAGTTGCAACATACGGTTGTGATGTCATACACGCCCATCGTTTTCATGGCCCAACAATTCATGTTGCACAGTCATTCCGTGTTGGTGTGTTTGGCCACCATGCTCCTACCTGATAGCTTCAGTTACGTTTCGGTATTTTTTGGATTTATTCTATTCTACCTGCACAAATACATGCAGACATGAGAATATCATATTTTGTGTTGTTGCGGATATATACCAAAAGTGCAATACACAGCAAAGAAACCTGGAAAAGTATACAGGACACTTGAGTTCCCTTAACCGTTTCCATCACCATATGTGAGTGAGTGAGTGAGTGAGCGTGCGTAAGCGCATCTGTCATTCACATTCAAAACTGGAATCTCTGACACAGTTGTCTAGAAGTTGTTTGTTATGTGACATTCACATTGAAGGCTGAAGCCACAGCTGGACCATCTAATACAAGACCGAAGATGTAAATGGTCAGATGTTTATTCATGGTTCTTCATATTCTTGAAAGACAAACAACAGTAAGCTCAACTGGCAGGTTGAACTGCTACATGTTATAGGGTGTAACTAGGAAATATACAACACCATCAGTGAAATGCACTATTGGTTATCACAGACAAGGAGGATTCAGACATAGGCAACAATGTGTCATGTCTCACACACTAACAAACACATATACAGTGGAAACCGCCTACGTAAAGACCGCTTAACTAAACATACCGGATAAGTAAACACTATTCTTTGGTCCCGGCAAATTTCTTCATTAATTAGATATCTATCATTATTAGAGTCCGGTTAACTAAACTCGGATAAGTAAACAATACCGCTTAACTAACCGTTTTTCACGATCCCTGGAAGTAAATTCCTAAACAAAAGAGACCGGATAACTAAATTAGCGATCACCACATAATCTGACATGAGGGGCACGTGTCATGTTGCAAAGACATTCAATATACCCACTGCTACTTTGTACAACTGGATCAGAAATTCGGACAAAATTAAGGAATGCTACCACCAGTCTGGTTATTCAAATGCTCGAAAAAAACGAGCTCGGACATCCAAGTTTGAAGATGTTGAAGAAGCCTTATTGACATGGTTCAAAAATGTATGAAATGAAAACATCCCGTTATCTGGACCACTTTTGATGGCAAAAGCTGAGGACTTTGCAAGTCAGTTAGGCCATGTAGATTTTAAGTGCTCAGTTGGTTGGTTAGGATGCTTCAAAACACGTTATGGCATTGTCCTAAAAAAAGTTTGTGGTGAAGAAAATTCTGTTGATTTAGAATCTGACAGCATGAAAACTTGGCACAAAACTCTTGATTCTCTGCTTAAAGAATATGATGACGATGACATTTTTATGCAGCTGAGACTGGGATCTTTTATAAAATGTTGCCTGACAAAACTTTGGACTTTAAAGGTGAAATGAAGAAATGTTTTACAAAGAGACAATCCCTCATGACAGCTTTTGTGGAGTAATAGGTTAGACTGTTAGACTAAAATATTTTGTTTCATTATGTTTGATTTTTATTACTTTGTATTGTACATGTATTACTTAACGCAATGAAATTTTATAGAATAAAACATGTCATATTACTTACAAATGTTGTCTGTTCTTCTGCTGAATACATATACATGTACATTGTACATGCATATGGTTGTCATTTCCGGGTTTTGATAAGTTTGGATAAGTAAAATACCTGATAAGTAAACAATTTTGGCGAGTCCCTTGAAATTTTACTTATCAGGTTTATACTGTATAACAATGTGTCATATTTAACACCGTACCAATCACAGACTTAACAATGTGTCATATTTAAAACACCATAAAAATAGACATAAGAATGTGTTATCTCACACACTAACAAGCACATACATGGTAATGTGTTATATACACATGTATAACACACACAGACACATACACACACGTCATACAACACTGTATCACACATAAACAAATGATATGACATATATCATACATCAAACATAAACACTCCAAAATGACATTGAAAAGAGTGAGTGAGCATGGTTTAAAGGCACAATGTCACACATTTTCAACAATATTTTATATATTGGGGCATATGCACTCTCTTTAGCTTCCTATTGATGCAATAAAAGACTTATTATCTGAAATCGATGATTGAAACTCCGAGGCGAACGGCTTCCAAACAGATAACACTTGCCATATATGGAATGTTAACGATTGCTCCGTACATCGAAAACTGTCACAATCGGTGTTGTCGGGGTTTGCCGAAATGGCCTTAATGACCAGATGCGTTACAGAATATTCGTAAAGAGTGTTCCATTGTACATAACTCTATGGGGTTTGCTTGAAAGAATGTTCGTCCGGTAGAGGGCGAGAGAGCTGATTTAATGCAACACTGCATTAATTCATTCAAACTTTTCAATTTAATATTGTAACCTAAATATGTAAAATATTTTCAGAATAAATTATATGGTAGCTTCCCTGAGGGTTGATAGTTAGTATTATTGAGAGAAATGCATCATGTATTTTTAGAGAAATGTAGCGTGACATTGTGCCCCTAATGCTGCTTTCAGCCAAATTCCAACAATATCATGTTGGGGGACACCAGATCAAGACTTCATAGGATGAGGTCATAACATGACAAAAAGCAACTCTCTCTCATTTCTCCAGTTCCTGCTACTGTTTTTGAATAGGCTAACAGTTAAAGTCATGTTCCAATATCACAGTTCAAATGTCCACTTTATCAGTATGTAGTGGGTGAGTATTGTTTTATACTCCAACAGTATCACAGTAAGGGCACCAAGTGACAGATATTGGGCAAATGAGTATGGTGTTACATCCCTTTTAGGAATGTTCCATCAAGGTCACAGCTGGAGAACATCACAATTTTACCCATAGAGAATCAAACCTTGCATTTTGGTGAAATAAGCAAACACTTTAACCACCAGCCTACCTCACCACCCATTATTTCATATCTCAAGACAGGTTAGTGGTTTGTTACTTTCACTGGTGCAACCCAATGTTACAGAGTGCAACCTAGTTATTTGTCTAACATGCACCAGGTGTAAGTCAATTTTTGAGAAATATATCAACAATAAATCTAACATTACAAGCATAATTATGTCAGCTCATTTTTCTTCTAAACTTTGAATAATTCAATAGCATATTTCTTTCATTACATATTGCAATACAAGCAGTGCAATTGTAATTTGGCTGGTGCAACTAGGTTTTTATCTTAGGTTGTACCTGGTGCAAGAATGTTAACGTCTCTTAAATCGAGCCCTGCAAGAGCTAACCAGTCTCTTCATATATATTCAGTATAGGATTGGTTGTCTGGTTTGTTGTATAGCACTGCACTCAGCAATATTCCAGCTAAATGGCAGCGGTCTGTAAATAAACAAATCTGGACCAGACAATTCAGTGATCAACAGCAAGAGCATCGGTTTACATAATTGGGATATGATGACATGTGTCAACCAGGTCAGCGAGCATATTCAGTATTTAAAAGAAGCACTCATGGTGATAATACTAAAGTGAGTTTCCTTTTTGGCTTCTAGATCCTTGTCTTGTTGATCCTTGTGAATGTCTGTCCACCGTTGCCTGGACAACTGGAGCCAGTAAGACCAGTTGGTCCACTGTTGACCAGGCCAGGTACCTCAGAGATTTCAGCCGAGTCAGCATTTCAGCCCTCAGTGCTGATGAGTTCAAAGTCTGAAATAATGAAGCGAGTTAGTGAGTTGGGCCCCAACTGCTCCTGTTGTATCACTAAGTGATGTGGGCCTTAGACAAATGAGTCAGTTTAGTTTTACACCACTCTCAGCTATATTGCAGCTATATGGTTGCGGCCTGTAAACAATCCAGTGATCAACAGCATGAGCATCGATCTACGCAATTGGGATACGATGACATGTCAACCAAGTCAGTGAGTCTGACCACCCAATCCCGTTAGTCGCCTCTTACGACAAGCATGGGTTGCTGAAGATAAATTCTAACCCGGATCTTCACAGGTTGTTAGACATATGCTCATCTTGGGAAACCAGAGACCATACACCCAAACTGTTCCAAATGTGAAGTACTTCAGCCTGTACAACTAAGTGTTAGAATTATGTTAGTTATTGAAAGCAAATGCTGCAACTCGGCACATTATAAGGGTACTGGGCGACATGAAAGAGGGCAAATTTATCGATGTCGACTTCGGTTCTTCAGTGTTCCTTATATTACTGAAGTTGACATCCATAAATTTACCACCATTATTTTTCACTGGCATTGAATGGATTCACAGACTTTAACAAGAAAACTGACAAATGATTACTATGACCTTTGGAACACTCATCTGCTATGTAAATGTGCTATTTATCATGTTCTACGTATTGACATCAAGGGTAGAACAATCATGTAATGGATAAATGAGAGACTAGTAGGGACAAAAAGTGGAAAAACAGTTGCAATACGAAATTTGAGAAACCTGTACTGGCAGAAACCTCAAAGGGTTGAATTTGGAGAAACTTGTGAGGGTTGAATTTGGAGAAACTTGTGAGGGTTGAATTTGGAGAAACTTGTGAGGGTTGAATTTGGAGAAACTTGTGAGGGTTGAAATTGGAGAAACTAGGAAGGGTTGAAATTGGAGAAACTAGGGAGGATTAAGAAACTAGGAAGGGTTGAAATTGGAGAAAGTTGAAAGGGTTGAAATTGGAGAAATCTGTTTTCATTGAAACAGATGGAGACAATTCTGAAAATTAGAATTGTATATGACATCATTTATCAAAACCCCAAAACATAAGATTGTCTCAGTTTCCATTTACCCCGGTACACCCAGAGTGTATCAGAGGTAATGTACACAGAAGTATACTTACTGCTTCGAGTCTGGATGTGGTGAAGGCCAGCTGGGACGTACAGGTGAGCAGATTCTTGGGCTGGCAGGACCGAGGAGTGTTTGACAGCAGCACATTACAGTTCTCCAGCAGCCGATGAAGCTGAAACACAACATCACCTCCATCACTCTCAGAACATCAGCAGCTTGCACTGTCGCCATGGGCAACCACACACCATCAGTTCATACCTTAAGCAATAACCTCCATCTTACTTAAAAGGGGTTAAGTTGTTCTTGAGCACAAGTATGCAGGTTCCAAACCAAAAATCACAAAGATGAATAATGGATTTCAGAAGGCAAGCAGCACATCCTGGCAAGACCAAAGGAGGCAACTCCATCCAGTGACTGAGTAAAGTTTTATGCCCCTGTTAGCAATATTCCAATGAGGGACATCAGAAATGGGCTTCACATATTGTACTGATGTGGGTTATCAAATCAGTCTTCAGAGTGACGAGCGAATGCTTTAACCACTAGGCTACCCCCCACCCCACTTATTTCATTCAAGTTGCTTTGATTGCAAAGCTGATATAGTGTGGTCCCATCAGTGGGTATACTCACATCGGACTAACACCAGCTGGTCTGTGAGGAATGCTTGAGTAGCATCAAGCTGGGCTGTATTCATTGCACTTGGTGAACTCCTCCACATCTTCTTTCTCTGAAACATCAAAACACATTATTTCTGGTCCTTTTTATGAAAAACAGTTGAGCATACATTGAATGTAGAGCATCATGGGGAGTTCACTTTGCCAGCTTGAAGCTCTGGGCGTTCTCTAAAGAGTTAATCTATTCAACCAACACCTTATCATGGGACCAAGGGCACTATCATAAATAACTATTGTCCATTTACCAAGTCATCAGTACCTGATTGTTTACCTTTCTGTCATGTGCACTAGCCATTTTCTTGGCGAAACTCAAAACATGATAAAGATGTATGGCTTTTTCTCAAACTGCCTCAGATGTATTTGTTAAAAGAGACCGATGACATACTCCCTACCTCACAACTAATCCTGACCCTAAGGACTTGAGAGGGGTGTTTGATCGGCAAGTTCTGCCAAACCCTAAGGATAGTGAAAAGGTGTTTGGTTGAAAGGGGTACATAACCCTAATGAATGTTATGGCCATGAATGAATAGATTGGAAAAGGGATCCAAGGGCTAAAGCTAGAGTTGGGTGTAACCTACATGAACCCTAACAGGGGCGGATCCAGGAATTTGGAGAAGGGGGTACACTATTTAGATCATGAAGTCCAAGGGTTAGTCCACATGATGCTGATAATTACTTTGCCGATACTGTGAGTCAAATAGTGAAGGCTTTTTCACCTGGGTGCTGACCAGCTGAGTGACCTTTGACCTGATGAACGTAGTGGTAATTTTCTTCCAGGAGTATCGGTGAGTTACGGACTTGTTGTACTGGGAAGCATGGAGCGTCATCACTGCCTCCGAGTCCAGCTCCACCGTCTACAGGAACAACATCAGCTATCATAACACACTCTGCTTGGGTGAACCTACCCTCAACTCTCTACTATGGGATAACTCAGTGTAACATACTGCATATAACCCGCTGCCACTTTCTTTACTGTGGGATAACCCACTGCTGCTCATGTTACTGTGGGATAACCCGTAGCCACTCATGTTACTGTGGGATAACCCACTGCCGCTCATGTTACTGTGGGATCACCCGCAGCCACTCATGTTACTGTGGGATAACCCGCAGCCGCTCATGTTACTGTGGGATAACCCACTGCCGCTCATGTTACTGTGGGATAACCCGCAGCCACTCATGTTACTGTGGGATAACCCACAGCCACTCATGTTACTGTGGGATAACCCGCAGCCGCTCATGCTACTGTGGGATAACCCAAAGCCACTCATTTTACTGTGGGATAACCCGCTGCCGCTCATGTTACTGTGGGATAACCCGCTGCCGCTCATGTTACTGTGGGATAACCCACTGCCCTCTCAAACTACTGTGTTAGTAATTCGGACACAATGGTGTTAGTGAGTGAGGTTTAACACTGCTTTTAGCAATATTCCAGCAACAACACAGTGGGGGTCACCAGAAATAGACCTCCTACACTGTACCCATGTGGGGAATCAAACCTGGGCCTCCGGCATGATGAGGATATTGGATAATGATTACAATAACAGCAATTGATGTATTTGACTCTATAACTCCAGTGAAACAATGGCAAATTATGTGACGTATATTTTGCCATGTTCACAGCATTAATTCATCAAACAATTAAAAGTGACCACATTACTCTCAAACAGTGCTGGCTATTTTCCTGCCTGGAGTAGTGTTGGGAATTGGTTAAAATGTCATAATTGATGATTGGTTCATTACAACCGATCAATCATCGAAAATAATTGGTTAGCGTCATTGATAAAATTTTCCTGTTATGTTTGATAATGCACAAAAAGATAAAGAAAAACATGTATTCCTTTGGTGTTTTTTTTGCAAATTGCACAAAATGCATTTGCAAATTTCCCATCTTTCAAGGAGGACTAGTATGTTAGGAACATAAATTTCCAGGAGTCTTTAAGATAAATTCAATCATGACTTGGAATGAGCTCAGAGTGCTTATGAAATGTAAATTTAACGACACAAACCAACCTTGTGAAAAATATTAATGCAAACAAGTGTTCCAAAATTGTTTGGGTTCGATTATGAGAAAACATGATCAATTGCTTGGTCGTTTCATCGTTTGTGACCAATCTTCGATTATTTCAATTAATCACACCACCACTAGCCTGGAGTGGATATATTCCATTTTGCATATCTTGTTTTGATAAGTAATTTATCAAGTAAAAACAGAACCTTTAAAAACATTTCAAGAATATTCGATCTTAGTGATTGCGAATAACAAACTGAATTCACAAAAGGATACAGTTCGAATTACTGAACACATGAGCGAATCGTAACAGTCTTGATATATGTGACATAGATATACGATTAATATATTATCTCATAACTGGGAACTGAATGGGCGCTGAATGGTCAAAATGGCTGTAAAGACAGTAGATTCTGTGTCAGCACTACTTACCCTCTCTTCCCTTGCAGCAGAGGCACAGACCAGACCAGAGTGCACGTGGCTGTCCCAGTCTCCCAGACACACCCAGCAGAAGTGGTGCGAACATTTACAGGTCATGTGACTGCAGCCGCCATCTTTCTCCATCGGGTAGTGGCAGCGAGGACAATTTTTCAGCTTAACGAAATAGGTCATATCCGATGTACTAGTAAGCTGTCGACCCATTTCATTACCTGGTGTGAAATACAAAAATGGTTGATAAAAATGAACTGAATATGCGAGTGGGCCAGTACGGTTTTGCACATCTTTTATCACAGTGAAGAGTGAAGTACAACAGAAACTGGACTCATTTCAAAACTGGAAATCGAACCCAGATCTTTGGAATGATGAGTGAACATTTTAACCACCAGGCTACCCCAAATCCAAACTGTCACAATAAATTCTTCTTTTTCCTTAAATGATGTCGTATCAGAAATAACATCGTGCAGCTCATATGTTTACATTATTATCAAATAAAGCATTATTTATATGATATTCTGCAAACAATAAAGACTAAGAGACATCTAACAACAATTCCAATCATACCATTCTCCAGCAGCATCTTGTAATATATGTCACCATGACTACAGAGAGCCGGCCAATGAGGTGACTTCTGACATAAGAGACACCAAAGCTCCCCACAGTGACATTGAACAGGAACTCCATACCGGCACAGTCGCTGAGCTGAAACACAGTCATGCCTTCATCAAAAACCTGTTGTTTGATTGGGATCCTGTCCATCCATGATCTGATAAGAGCAAAGGTTATTGTCCGGACTAACAGTGTAGCCAATTTAGTATGTTATACACAATCTGGATCATACAAAAAATATTACCAAATGTAGAAGGTCTGAAGAAATGAAGCAAGATTTTAAAGGTTTTAAATATTTAAATATTTGATGGTTTCAATTATTTTCAATACGTTTAGACATGTCTGTTGAGCTAGAAATTGCAGTCTCTCTAGAACAATTGATGCAACAAGTTTACACCCGACTCTACAATTTCCATAAATTAGCAATTTCTATGGAATGGTCAAGCAACTTAATGGTGTTGTGGGCAAGGGTGTTCCAGTTCATGGTGCAGATTGGTTCACTGTGAAAAGTCAGTAGAATATGCAGGGTTCTGTGAACGTTGGAAAAAGGTCAAACTTGTGGAATCACTTGTGGTGTTCCCTCAATCTCTGTTTCAGTTATTAAACATTTCATATTTGGCATATTTATAGAGCATATTAAACTGCATACAGAAGCATTCAGGTACTTAGTAAGTTTTCTCACACTTTTTATCTTGTGGCTTGGCCATCTTGGCGAGATATTGACACCCTGCCTTCGGACACCAGTGCCAGCCCCCTGCCCGAGTCACATGACTCTCCGCACACTGTTGCTGCCATCTTGTGAGAAATTCAGGGGGAACAAGGGAGGTAACTGTAGCAGGATCCAACTCAGTTTCGCAACCATATTCCTAAAATAACAAATTTTGTTATTGCTTCATGCATGAGAACGATATGAATGTTCAACAAACACATACAATATTTACATCATTATCTACCATGTCACCGTAGATCTATTAGCTGACTGTATAGGGGATTTTCAGCTGAGTAAAGAATTGAGAATTTGTTATGACATAATACATCTGTACCCATTGTTTGTTACTGATTTTTTGGACTGCACATACATTGTATATAGGTCACAACCACAAACCCAGAGGTTGACATCAAGAGCATCTCTCGATTGGTATGATGACACAAAAGTGATCATACATTCTAACCACAACAAATACATTATCTCATTCAAGAAAGAATGACAAAAATCTGCTATATATCACATATTTAACACATCGACGCCACACATGATCTCTAGTAACCAGTGCTAACAGTACCTACAACTTACCATGCAATAAAGAGTTGTCTTCCCTTCCTTGATATTCTGACATAGGTACAGCTGCCAGCACTGTCGACAAAAGCTGTGTCGACATGGCAACAAGGACACATTGTGTGAAATCCACGACCATTCTTCCCCTTCCCAAGATGCAAAACAGATTGAGCACTCCTCTATGAGGTCAAAGTCAAGGTCAATCAGAGTTAGAAGGTCAATTCGGGCAACACTTGGAAGAACCTGTAACAAGTTATAACACAATTTGGCTTAAAAATGCAAGAAGTATTGTTTCACTAAAATGTGAATCAGATACTTTGTGAGATACATGTTTGGGTCATATTCCGTGTCCAAAACAAGATCAACATCAACAGGGGGTGAGGGTGAGGTTGAGGTTGAGGTTGAGGGTGAGGGTGAGGTGAGGTGGAGGTGAGGTGGGTGAGGTGTGAGGGGTGAGGTGAGGTGAGGTGAGGTGAGAGGGTGAGGTGAGGTGAGGTGAGGTGAGGTGAGGTGAGGTGAGGTGAGGTGAGGTGAGGTGAGGTGAGGTGAGGTGAGGTGAGGTGAGGTGAGGGTGAGGTGAGGTGAGGTGAGGTGAGGTGAGGTGAGGTGAGGTGAGGTGAGGTGAGGTGAGGTGAGGTGAGGTGAGGTGAGGTGAGGTGAGGTGAGGTGAGGTGAGGTGAGGTGAGGTGAGGTGAGGTGAGGTGAGGTGAGGTGGTGAGGTGAGGTGAGGTGGGGTGGGTTTATGTGAGGTGCTTGAGAATATTTGAGCTCATATGACGTGCGTGCAGGTGTGTGTATGTATGTGCGGCTGCTTGTACTAGCTCAGACTGAAGCTGGTTTTATAGTGCTAGCCCACTGAGATACCATGCCGCAGTGAAGCATGAATACCCCACTCAGACACATTATACTGACTCCGAGCCGACCAGTCCTTGTTGTACCCATTAATGCTGAGCGTCAGGCAGGGACCAACAAGTACCACATTTTAACGTCTTTTGGTATGACGCGGTCGGGGATTGAACCCGCGAACCATCCGCTCTCCGGGCGGACGCTCTAACCACTACACCATGGAGTCGGTCTGAACTATTAGTAACTGAACTTAAATTCAGACCAGCAGTTAGTCACGGACTGATAGAACCGCCTCCGTGGTGTGGTGGTTAGAGCGTCCGCACGTCGTCATATGAGCGAAATATTTTCAAGCACGACATTACACCCAATTTCACCTCACCTCACAGACTGATAGCATGTTGACCTGTAAATGATCAAATCTGGATCAGACAAATACATCAAGTTTCTGTGAAATATCCTGTTTACTCATGAATCTGTTTACACCTGGATGCGACCTTCCCATATACTCAAGAATGTGGCCTAGCTCTTTTATCATGAATGTGGCCTTCTTGTTTACTCTAAAAAGTGGCCTTCTGTTTACTCATGAATGTGGCCTCCCTGTTTGATAATGAATCTTTTTTTCTGTTTACTCATGAATGTGACCTACCTGTTTATTGTGTTTGTCCTCAAGGTAAGCCTCTTCAGCTGTCTTCACTACAGTTAACTCAGAGAAAAGCTGCTTGTGGATTGTTCTGTTTCCATGGAGATCAGCCCGAGACTTTGTAGTCGACCTGAATTAAAATATATATAGATAGAGTCATAAGTTTGTATTTGTATTTCTCACAGGTGACCTGCAACACAATCTTCACACTACCCACCATAAACAGTTGATAAAGCTACTGAGTTTCTGATCAGGAACATTTCCACAAAAATTGTAATTTTCATTGTTAACAACACATAATTTTATACATGACTATCCAAATATTGCTAATCCCCTGAACCTCTCTGTAGCTGTTTGGTGCTCAATGTACCCATAAAAGATTATACTCATATGTCAAAGAAGTCCATCAGTATTAACTAGTGTTGGGAATTGGTAAAAATCTCATAATTGATGATTGGCTCATTACTACCGATCAATCATCGAAAATAATTGGTTAGCATCATTTATGAAATTTGTTAATACACATAAAAATAAGGTAAAAAACAAGTAGTTCTTTTGGCAAAATTTCACACCTTTAAAGGATGACTAGTATGTTAGGAACATAAATTTCTTGGAATCTTTAACATAAATTCAATCATGACTTGAAACGAGCTTGTAATGCTTACGAAATGTAACAGACAAAACCAACCTTGTGAAAAATATTGTTAATGAAAATAAGTGTTCCAGAATTGTTTGTGTTCGATTATGAGAAATTGTGATCGATTGCTTGGTCGTTTAGTCACTACGACCAATCTTTGATTATTTCAATTAATCGGACCACCACTAGTATTAACACAGTTAAGTCAAGGCAGAATTATAGCCCTACTGGGACACAGGTGGCCCAGTGGTCTAAGACACCAACCACTGCATAGCTGCATGCATTGAGCATGCCAGAAAGCCATGATTGAGGGTTGGAATAACAGTTTGCCCAGATCATAAATATATGTCTTCAGGTTTGTCAGCATGATACCCCATCTCATGGGTTCCACCAAATAGGTACACAATTTGGACAAGCATCAATTTGGGCTTTCTAGATATAACTTGTACACTGATCAGAATGGCCCCAAACCCAGTTAACTCACTTCCTCTTACATCCATAAATGCCATCTGTCTAGTGTGGACAAATGAAAACCACCATAGACCTGTCTAAACATTGAACACAATGCATCTCAAGAAAATCTCTGGTGGTGTGCGTTTCTTTTTTTAATGACCATATACATGACAGAGTTGATTTCCTTACTTTAGTTAGTTCCTAATGTTAGTACAAATTACTTACAAAGCTTGTTGTAATGTTTCCTCAATGACTTTGTTGGCAAGGGCAAATAACTCTGTCAGAGTGTGTCCTGATCTGGAAGTTTGCTTTACAGCATGACGCAGACTGGAGTTCACAGTGCAGATGTCCGGTTCAGCAGCTCTTCCTTGCAATGTTACCCTGCGTGAATATAACTTACTGAGGAATAGGTTCAGTAGCTCACCTTGACTCAAGGTAAACTCACATATATGTAAAGGAAACTTTTATTGGGCTCTAACAGGGTATGAAACTCCCAAAAAATTTCAGCCAGACCATTGGGCTCTGACCGAAACATACCTGCCCCAAAAATATCTTCATATAAATGTCAAAATTTTAACCCGACCCTCAGGCAGGTGAATTTGAGAATCTGGCAGTCCATTTTAAAAATAACTGTCCCGGGCGGTTGGACAGGCAGGTATTTTGAACGCTGGTTCTAAAATTCAAATTATTTTACCTTAGTTACAAAAACTGCTACCTCAAAAACAACATGCCAGCATATTTCAGCTTCTGAAAGTTACTAAACTTAACTGATTGTCATGGGTAAGCAACGTGTACGACTGAAGATAAGCTGATCTCATAGATAAGACAAGGCCCCAACCTGGGGCCATATTCTCGAAACGTTCGTAGCCCTAAGAATTCTTAACTTTGATCGTAGCCAATGTGTTAAGAATGGGCTTAAGAAGTTCGTAGGACTTAAGAAGTTTCGAGAATAGCTAGCCTGATTCTTAAAAGCTGTATCAAAACAGTATGTCCGGTCCATAAGCTTGACCAACAACCTACGTACATTGTCTCAACATGATCAGTGATAGGAAATAGAATATAAAAAGATTATGAACGTTAATCTTATTGTTACTCTACCTCCTAACAAATCATGTTCATTGTAAATCTGGACTTATGTTTGTTATACCGTTTTATTATTTTACTCAAAATGTCATTCAATAATATTTATATTACTGGTAATTGCAGTGAAATCAGGTGTCCCTCCGATACCTTATAATTTCTGTTTACATTATTCATAGCAGCCATGATCATTTTACTACTCACTCCTTAAAATGCTGAGAGAAAATGGACATACATGCTCTTTTCATTGGCTAGACTTCACAGCTGTAATCTATCAATGGAAGGTTTGTGCAAGGCTTGTTTCACACTATTTCATGAATCTTGTTCATTCTGCTACTGAATTAAATGTTCTCCTAGTCATGATCACGTCAGGCGACCACCATCTTTCTGTGTCATATTTTATCATAACTCCCCTCCTGATTTTTGATAAAATCCCTTAACCTCATATTTCAAAATTGTGGTTTTCAAGTTGTTACTAAAATCACACATCTGTTTAAGATACACAATATTTCTAGGCAAGTATTTGGCATAATTACCTCAGTGCAACACTGGTTTGTGATTCAGGGTCAGGCCAAAATCCCAATCCCGGCGACATCTGGCACACCATGCACCAGTGACCTTGACTTCTCCCAAGGTTAATGACAAATGTATACGGATGGATAAGGCTGACTTCAACGCCATGTCCATACAATTCTGCCAGCTTTCTTGGCACAATGTCTTCCATGGCAATCTTGCACACGCAGAAGTTGCCATTGAACACCTGCAGGTGGTTCTTCATGAGCTCCAGCATCTCACCTGCCAGGTCGGAATGATTCTCAGATTCAGTGTTTCTATCAACAATCTCAAAATCATCATCAGTTACTTTGGTTCTGTTCTCCAACACAATTGCACAACCTTTCCCATATCTTTTTGTCCACAAGGAAGTTGCTCTGTTGATCTGCTCAACTTCAACCTTGACCTTCTTCCTCCTGTCATCAGTCACAAACACATAAGTCTCCTTGTCCACCATGTCAGCCTTACGTCCTTTCTTCCTCAGTTTCTTCTTCCTGGAACCCTGTTTCATAATCAGTGTTTGCAAATCCACTTCCATGGCCCGCTCCCGTTCCTTCACTTCCTCCACCTCACCCAATTCCCACATCCACTCTTCTCCAAGTCCTCCAGGGTGTTCCTGTTCCTCATCAGCCTGTTCTTTCATGCCTTGTGGTGAGAAACCAAAATGTGACTCCTGCTTGTCTCTCTTGCTGCGGAGTCCTTTACTTTTCTTCAGAGCCTTATTTTGTCTCATATTGTGAGTTGGATCTTCTAAAAATACATTTTACAAGACAGTAATTAAGATACAATATATATAAATCTACTGTTCATATTCAAATACAGTCAAATGTAGATGTGTTAAAGTTGATGGGACCTATATAAATACTTCAAATTTTCCAAGATTCGACACAATCACAAAATGATGACAAAAGAAGGAACAGGCAGAGAACAAGGCCTAGATTTTCGGAGGCTCTCTTAGCACTAAGATAGTCGTAAGTGAATGTTATTGCATGGCACTTACGACTATTGTAGTGCTAAGAGAGCTTCGAAAATCTAGGCCCATGCCTTCAATTTGAGACAACGGTAAGTTTTGAACATCAAAGTTTCACAGAAGAATGTTTGACTGTATAAATTTTCAATATGGTTGCATTTTCAACAAAACACAATCATGGCCATGTTTTATAATGTGCACATTATTGGATGCTAAATGGCAGTGGATATTTCCCAAAAATCAAGAACTTAAATACTAGACCTATATGGTCAAATACCTTATTTGTATATTATTCATGTAATTATTTTCCGTGTATTAGTATTTACTTTAACCATTGACCATTGTTCTTGTACATCCACACACATGGATGTTACTTGCAATTGGATGAAATGTTAATGTGGAGGTATTAGTGAACTGCTGAATATAAAGTTTAATATAATAATATAAGCTCAACCCAAAGCAACATGCTCTGCAGTCTTGTATATATTGTATCTTGAGATAAATCCTAAAGTAACTTGTAATGAAGTCCACCTGTAGTCCACAATTTTTTCTTCATGAAGACCAAGGGCAGTGAGGTAGCCCAGCAGTTAAAGCGTTAGAGCAGTTAGAGGTTTTACGCCTCTTTTAGCAATATTCCAGCAACATCACGACGGGGGGCACCAGAAATGGGCTTCACACATTGTACCCATGTGGGAAATCGAACCTGGGCCTTTCGGCGTGACGAGCGAATGCTTTAAAACAGTGGGCTACCTCACACACCAACACCACCCCAAACCCCCCAACCCCCATAAATGGACTTACTTACTTTTCACTACTTTTGAGGATGACTCCGTTCTGTATTTTCATTGTAATTTTTACCATGTGCAGCATTTATACATTGTTGCTGTTACTTGCATCACCATTAACTGAAGAATTGCAAAACATCACAAAATGTGAACTAGTAGATCAGTAAAATATATGGTGGACATGAATCAAATTCACTTGAAATGGCATATAGCCTTGTACAGACCTCCTTTTCACACAGATTCCCTGATCCAAATGTTGTTGTCCTTTCAAATGAAAATGTAAATCATTTTTATGCCTGTAAAGTAAAACTTACTATCCCAAATTCTTTCATAAGGACTTGTTCTGTAGAACATTTTTTTGGATGTATACTCCGCTGGCGACCACAACTCGTATCGAATCTCTGGACATCCGTGAGGCTCTGCTAGGTTCCTGGGACTGGAAGTGAAGGGCGGAGAATAATGTCCAGTTTGTATGATATATAATCTCACACAACAGGGTTAATGAGTATTTCAGTCATATCATGATTTCTCAGCTTAATTAGAAGAAATGCCTAACTTAATTGACGATTTTTAGTATTAATATAGAAATTCTGATGATTTGAACATAATATATCAATATATGGTCCAAATACAAATCCAGCTTCTTCAGTATGGCCATTTGAGGTGAGAAGCCACAGCGCCCAATATATATTGTGAAAGGATTAAACAGCTACGGTCAAATAAAGGTAAAAATTACAAACACTCCAAAAGTAAGGTATATGTACCTATTACACTTTGAACAAACTAGTTGTAAAATGGTCACGAGAAATTCAGTTTGCAATATGGTCAAAGTGCAAAAGTTCATCAGAAATTCTATCCCTATTCCTTTTAAGAAATGCGAATCTATTAAACAGTTACTCAATTTGACGGTTCTGAACCAATTTATTGAAAGTACACTACGAGTTAAATAAGGAAGATTGTTTCAGGTCATTCATGACATGGCTGTGGATGGCGGCCATATTGTCTTACATAAATGGCTGCTGGTGCAGCTCCGTCTCTGGGGGCAACGTCTTCACCTTCCTCTGGATTGCACGGAAATGCTTGTTGTGATACTTTCTTCTCCTTGTCACCTTCCCTTCCTCTTCCTTCCTCTTCCCACGTTTCCGTAGATCTGTGATAAACGAGGCATCCTTTCGGGGAGTAACATGAGGCTGGATGTTGTGACTATCCCAGTACTCCCGGCATACAGCAATGTTAGGATTCATGAAATAAGTGTATCCGTTACATAAGTGAACATTATCAACCAGTGTAATCTTAAAGTCTTCCTCACAATTTTCTTCAGCCATATAGCAAATGGTTTTCGCGACAGTCTCTCGTAGCAGCCAACGCTTTCTTTTATTTAGTGAAAAGACAACTGGACCATGAAAGTTATGTTGAATAGCCAGGTCCCCATCTTGAACATACTCATCTGATATCGACAATATGTTCGCATTCTGTTCTTCAAAATCAGCTGGCTGGATGATTCTGTTTATGTAAACCTTGGTGATGAGGTGATCTCGCGTTCCTATGAAGGCCTTGTCATAGTACCTGACTTTCAGTGAGTTCCCAGAGTTCAGACTGCAGTTGGACTTCTTCAGGACCATGGTGGAATCACGGTGACTATTAAAACAAGCAAGGAAGAATTATTTGCCATTTACATATAATTTATTTACCAAAATCAGAAACTTCTGAATTTTTAGATTTAAAGATCAGGATGTTTGTGGATCCAGGGTCCTTTTCCACGAAGCGTTCACAGCGATACAACATACGTAAGCCTATAGTAAACTATAGAGTTCCGACAGCTCGTAACATTATGAATGCTTTGTGGATAGGGACAGAGAAGGGGTTGGATTGGGGTTGAGGTAAGGGGCAGGATTGGGGATGCATTTTGACTGAGGTTGGGTTGAGATGCCTGGCCGGCCAGGTTGTGATGAGTCAGTGATTGTTATACCTGCTTTCTTTCAGACAGCTCCACATCATATCCAAATCAATTTCATTGTATCAGACTTGAATGGACTCAGTTTAATCATCAGATTATCAGGCCCCGACACAATAATTTACACATTGATGCATGGGGCATTAAACCAATAATACCAACAATACATCATAACATGAAAACATGTTACAAAAGGTGTGTGTGGGAGGTGAGCTAAATGTAATACAGTTCTAAGACAAATCTCGCCACATACCCCTTATAATAAATAAACTGTCCCTACACTAATTTAAAGTATTGTTTGGTATCATTTTGTATTTCAGACACCCTGTTATAGAGGAAAAAACTCATCTCAAGAGTAGATAGGCTTCTACTGAATAGACTAGGGCTGGGACAGGTCCAAAATTTCTACCTGGGTACCCCACCCCCCTATTACCCTACCCTGCCCGGATACTCGTTATGTTAATTCCTGACATCAAAATTGTAAGAAATGGCTAAAATATTCTTCAGCTCAGAGGCTAAAATTTCAAGTTTCTTAATATCTTAACCATGTATTTTATTCAAAAGAAGTGACTGTAATTATGTCTAAGTCTTCAAAGACAATACAACCTTTTAATCATGAAAGAATAACATATTACATTGTTTAATCTATTAGTCACATGATCCTGATGGGTCCGGGTATTGAGAACGGGTACCCGGGTCCGACTCATTACCCACACGTCCCGGGTATCCGGGTTACCCATGCCAGCCCTAGAATAGATTATTTGCAATATGGAAGCTGGCTTAGATATAGTATGTCTCAGTCACTGAACCGCATTATTTTCCCTTCCGCCTAGCCCTTTCTGCAATGCTAACGCTCTAGATGAAGCAAGTCTAGATTTCCTGTATTTCCTGTTGGGTCTGTATCTCCCTTCTAACTGGGGCTCCTTGTCAAATTTTAAAGGAATTGTTTGTTTCTATCAAAATTACATATGTTCAGATGCTAAGAGTTAGTCTAGCCTAGATACAAAATACAGTTAATGTAAAACATGTTATAATTGTAACATCAGTAGGATTTGTACTTATTGGGTCTGATTTATCACAGTTTCTCTAGGTACCAAACAATAATACATTCTACATACAAATGATAACTAACCTCTGAGATTTTGTTACCTTTTATAAAACCTTGATCATCAGTCCACTGGATTAACAATTCTTTGCCAACTCTGATTGACTTGGAATGAAGAGTGGTTTACAAGAGCTGGCAACAGAGTTAACAAGACATCATTCTGTTTACCTGTAAAGAGAATATACAAACTTAACAGCTGAAAAATGAAGTCATTCAGTCCTCAAAATTCATCTGGGAAACGTGTGACTTATATAATCACCATGTTTATGTTTAGGCTAGGATATTCATAAAAATTATAGCATTAGATATGTTTCAGTTTAGATCTGCCATGACTACTGAAATTCATCCTGCAGATTTCTCAGGAAAGACACCTTTTATTCCACAACACTGAGGTTAACCTCACCTTAACTTTTAAGCACAGCATAATATTTGTCAACGTTTCGTTTTCCACATATGTATAATACTAATCACTGTCGACAACTTATTGTCACTGTTTCGAATCATACGTTCCACTAAATCTGGACATACAATATGTTTTTAGCTCTACAAAAAATATCAATTTTGGGTGCTACGCCACAGTTACCTCCCCTGAAAGCAGACAGCCTCACGTCGAATGTCTTAATTTACTCACCTGTCAGCTTGGCAACGCTCGCAGTAACACAACTGGTCTTGATGAGATGATTTAACTGGATTTCTGCTCAAACTGCTTACTTCAACCTTCGTGTATTACCTAATATGCGCACTAACAGAATACAGGATGATGTTTGGTGACATTACCTGGTCTAAATATAGCTTGACAGTTTACTAGCAATGGTGCAATGTTTACATCGTATTGAAAGGCAGTGTTGGTAGATTCTATTCCTGCGTGAAGGGGTGGTAGATTGGGACAGTTTATTCAGACAGTGGAATCTATTTGGGTGTAGAAATTACTGAATCGCCTAGGTGGTAGAGTATATGTTGTGTCTCAGGTATGCACGATAGTGATGGCAGCTTCACATGATCATAATATATATACTGTAGTCTGTCTCACAGTCACTGAATCGCATTATTTTCACTTCCGCCCAACCCTTTCTGCAAAGCTAATGATTGTCAAGCCCTGAATGAAGCAAGTCTAGATTTCCTCAGCTTCCGACAGAATCTCACGTCTCTCTCAGACTCCTTTCCAATTTAAAAGGAATTGTTTGTGTTTATCAAAATTATATATTTTCAGATACTAAGCGTTAGTCTTATAATATACACTGTAGGTTTATAACAAATCTGCTAACATATACATGTGTATACCCACGGTATGAAACCTCCAAAAATTTCAGCCAGACCACAGGGTTGGTTAGATGTAAAACTTGCCAGCCCTGACCAAAACTTACCTGCCCGAAAAATATCTTCATATACATGTACATGTCTAAAGTTTAACCCAATCGTCGGGCAGGTGAATGTGAGAATCTGGCAGTCCGTGTTGAAAATAACCCGTCCCGGGCGGTCGGGCAGGCAGGTATTTCGAACGCTGGTTTAACCAGACACCATATAATAGAATATGGTCTCTGGTATAACGAACTGTTCTTTGGTCACCGCCACTGCCTATTTTAGTCGAAATGCGTAAAACAGACTACGGTTATACCGAAGTAAAATCAGTGGTCACCACGAGTTCCTTATATCTGTAGTTTACTGTAGTTCAGCCTTGGCAGAAATATTTTTCATCGGATCTTTGAGGGTGGCGTATAAAAACTGGTTCATCGTATTATATTTACTGGTAGAACTAATCAACCCCCATCCCAGTTAAATGATACCTGGCTTCGATAAAAATGGTACTTGTTGTTACCCTGTCTGATTATATAAGAAGGGAGGTCTCGGCACACACATAAGTTTGATTGCGAGTCACGATAAAAGTGCAAAAAAGGCAATGCATTAAATGTAAATAGAGCAAAGAAAACATGTATCGTGAGATCACGAGGACTTTCTGTCTTATCGTTGAAATGCGTCTCGGGTCCCTAACTGAAGATTTCAACGATTAGAAACCAAAATCCGAGTGATCTAACCTATTTATAGGGACATTTATCTTTGGCTTCAACCCAGAAGTCAAATTGGTATCATTTACAACATTTATGTGTCTGGGGTGAGACCATTTCCCAGGGGCGGTGCGGTATCCTTGTAGTTAAAGCGCCTGCTCGTTACTTGTTTCTTGCAGGCATGCGTATCAAGCAAAAATTCCCCATGGACGAACGGGGCATGTCCTTTGGGTGGTGCCTTTCTTGGATCTGACAAAGTGGGGTCTGAAGTCGGGTGAAGCAGGTGGGGCTGTTTCTCAGGGAGACTGATATTGAGAGTAGCACAGAAAAGCGGCCGTAAAATGCGCGTGGCCGTAGTGGGGTCTGAAGTGGGGTCAAGCAGGTCGGGCGGGTTCATGTACCTTTGAAGTAGTCCCATTCGACTGTGAAAGTGGGGACTCGGGCTGTGGCGGGTAGATGAGATTCCACGTGCGTCACCCCCGAATGTAGGGAGGGTCAGACACAGCAGTTCAGTGGACCAATAATGGGACATGGCTTCCTCGATCAAGGGACTATTTCAGTTGTGGACACTACCAGGCCCGTCGAATCCCTACGCGCGTCGCTGTTCATGATCTTTCATTGGAAAAAGTACAGATGGGTACTGGCAAATAAGGCTGTATGAATCGAATATACAAACAGAACATGCAAGTCACTCAAATTTTCTACCAATCCATTGCACATACCAGGGAGTGTAATTTACTCTATCGTACTTACACAGGGCTGGCCTCTAATCGCAAGGGAAATCGGAAAATCAAAAGGTGAGCCTCTAGATACAGGCGTAAGAACAAATATACATGGTTTGATGATATACACAGTTTGCTAAAACCACGAAGTTAAACTTGGGCCGCTTCACTCCCACGCACAACACCCAAGCTATCTATGTACACCATACATTTTTCCTGAGGAAACACTAAAGGAGGGTAGTATAGGTATCGAGCTCCCTAATTATAAGCCGGACTAAGTGGGAACTGAATATTGCTATAGAATTATAAAATCATCCCAAATAATCCCCGAACATTCAGGGCTGCTCAACAATCGGAAACAACACAGACTTCTGACTTTGAGTCTGCTGGCAGAATGGATGTTTAGTTTTCATCTTCATTTTCCCTCACACTAGAAGATGTAGCCTTTTCAGTGGCACATGGCGGGATGGCACTGACAAATTCTCGCCACATGCATTAAGGGTCACATACTACCACGTATAAAATGTCATAGCTAAATTGACAACCATTAAGAATTGCGACTTTCCTTATCTTTCGTCTCATTGCTCGCAGAAACGATATTGTTTTATGTTACTAATTTTGTCGTATACTTGAGGATATAATCTCTATAATGATATATGGCACCACATCATCCATGTAATAGTGTAGGCGTGATAAATACCTGAAAGTATGAGGTCCATTTACTAAAGTCGGTAAACCCTCAAGAATTGCGACTTTTGGTATCTATGGTCTCATTGCTCTCAGAAACGATATTTTTCTGTGATTGTAATTTTGTCATATACTTGAGGATATGTGCTTTTTAATGATATATGGAACGATATCATCGACAAAATGGTACATGAGCAATCAATTTCTGAACTTGTTATTCCCGGATACTTGCACGCTTAAAGTTGGACTGAAAGTCGGCAAAACTTGCGAATTGCGACTTTTAGTATCTCTCGTCTCCCTCCTCGCAGACAAGATATTTATCTATGATTGGGATTTTGTCGTATACTTGAGGATATAATCCCTTCAATGATATGCGGCACGATATCATCCATAAAATAGCGTGCGCGTAATAAATATCTGAATTTATGAGGTCCATATACTCAAGTCTGTAAGACTAAAGTATTGCGACTTTCGGTATCGTTTGCCTTCCTCCTGGCAGACCAGATATCAATCTATAATTGTAATCTTGTCATATACTTGAGGATATCATCTTTCTAATGATATATGACACGATATCATCGACAAAATGGTAGAGGAATAACCAGTTCCTGGACTTATGAGCTCCATATACTTGCACACATCAATTTGGACTAAAATCGGCAACCGTCAAAGACCAACACACTCAGCATCTCATGCGGGCCACGCTTCTCGGTGACGGGATATCTGTCTATGTTCCTGTATTCCCCGCATATTTGCAGACTGCCATGTTAATGCATGTCGTACCCAGCCTGCAATAAGCTGGGCCCCGTCTTGCATGTCGCTAGTTGGTGCGCGCAAAGGGAGCCAGGAACCAGCTTAAGCCTGCAATGACGGACTTTACCGAGACGTGACGGAATCGTTTCTGTGACGTCACAATCGCAAGGCCGCCATTGCCTGAGTAGCAACCAGTTTCGCAACAGTTGACCGCATAAGTTCTGCCCAAATTGTCTTTTCTCTGCGTTTCCAAGTATGAACGAGATCCATCTACCCGATTTTCATCATCTCCAGAACGACGGGGAACTGTAAGTAACTTTCTTTGGTTCCATTCTGCACGCAGTGTGACGGAATCTCCAAATTAAATGTAACGGACGTTCTCGTTGCTATGTCCGAGTTGGACGCCATTTTGTACATAACTTCAACAAGGTCTACCCAGATACATCAAAGAATTTTAGCAATCAATCTGCCTTAAATGCCTCATCCCGTTCCCCTTTTCTAACTGTGTAAAAGTCTATTTAGAATTGTCGACAATATTGGCGATGATATTCTTACATTTTCGCCCTAAAACAATATGCCAATTTCGTGCCAAATCGCGTAACAATAGCCCCTACTTTATCACAGGTCAGATGGAGTTCATGTTGTCTGTTTACAGCTTGAACCCTTCTCGTTTCTGGGTGGACATAATGAAGTCCCGGGTAGGCATCAGCAATTCATACGCCGAAAAGCTGCTCGACTGGTGTCAGGATTGTAGGACTAAGCTTGGCACTGTCAGTCAAGATGGTAAGCATGCGATTACTTATTCAGCTACTATTCAAAATAACATTTTGACTGATGTTCCTGTTATGTTGCTTCGGGCACTCCTTTAGGCTTGTTTTGCTTAATTAGAAACCCCACAAGTCCTCTTTATTCCGTTTTCAGCTTGTTCCGAGAGTTATGAGATTCGCCATCTTCTAGACTGCTACTTGATATCCTCCGAACAGGAGGCTAATCATATTCTCGCTGTGTCACGTGATATGACGACCCAGGGTGGACCCATCCATTCTCTAAAAAGGTAAGAGTAATGAACATTTGTTAGTGTCATTCGTGTGTGACTATATATCCACGTGTTGTTTTGACTGTGTGATTATTAAAAACATGGACAGAGTGGCATTCATATTAGTGGTTGATGTTTTCAGATTGGCCTCGACTAACAGGGGAGGCGTGTTGTCTGAGCACAAGGCCTTGAGCCGGGAACTTCTGTCCCTGACTGAGAGACACATGGTGTGCCTCAAACATCTTCAGGAGGTGAAGGAGGTGAGTTATTCTGGCGACTGCCCATAGGATGAAACACTTGAATGTAGTTTGTTTTCTATTCTGAATACTACTGTACACACGCGTGTTTATTTCAAGTACAATATGACAAGGTGAATGTCTTCTCCATTTTTGCAGAGCGGAATAATGGCCATGGCTGCCTCTCGTAATTATGAAAGGAGAATAAGCGAGCTGAAGGCTGACCTAGTGAAAGTGGGGGAAAGGTCCAAGACGTCTCAGCAAAGTATGCTGGAGAAGAAAGTCCGGACTCTGGAGTCCAAGCTGGTTAAACACAATCAGAAGGAGCAGACCCACAAAGCCCGTTATGAGTGCCTGTTGAAAGAGGAAAGCGAGCTTGTGAACAGGCTGAGAAAGGTGAGCATTAAAAACAGGGGTGCTCACATCTGAGTTTCCAGCCATTCCTACTCATTCTTTGAAGGACTCCTTTCTTACAGAACTGTTTATCTTAATCCCTTTGTAACCCCCTTTCTCTGTGTGAGTAAACGCTCCACTTACTGAAACCTATACATGCACATGCACATGCCATG